GCGCACTTCAGAAAACATTCTTCAGGGTCAATGTCATTCTTTCTATAGCTTTTTCCTCTAGGTATCCCAAAAAGCAATCGGATGATTTATTTTTAAGCAGTCAGACACAGTCTTCCCTCCCATTTCAACTATTCATAAGCAACCAGATTCTTCAATAGCTCTGTAAGCATGTAGGCAGGAGTAAGTGCACGCCTGTTAATAAGTAAGAAACTTTTGATACCGACACTGCAAACACAAACCTCACTGCTGACCCGGAGAACAGCAACAGCATTCACCCCCATGCATACAGCTCTCCAAATAAAAACTATCCGAAAGCCTTCATTTACCTCTTCAGCAGACTGCCCAAGGGCTTGGCTTTGTGCTTTGCAGGTGAACCCCCAAAAGAGCATTTTCACTGGATTTAAAAAAAAAAAAAATCTGTCCCTGCTAAATGTCAGCCTCCTACCTCCCATACAACAGAGCAGGAGGAACTCCGCAGGAGAAAGAACGCTACATATTTCACTCCATCTTCTGGTGGTGTAAAATCTGCCTCGTCGCAGATCACAACTGCGTGAAGATCTTCCTCCTGACCCGAAGCAAAACTAGCTTACCACCGCACCCCAGGAGACAGTCACCATGAGCTAGGAGAAGACTCTACAAAACGCACGTTCAGATAGATCCACTTCTTGCTTGTGCACCCCAAGCTGGTACAGAAAGCTCCTTCTAAAGAAAGCCCAACTACAAAGCTAACTCTTCTCCAAACACCATCTGCTAGAAAGACCAGCTTACAACTATGAAGAGTGAGAACGGTTTTGCATGTGACTGCTCTATGCAAGCAGGAACGACTCTGCACGGAGTGTATAGCACTCCAGGGGACAAAGGGTTTCTGGTTAAAGCAACTTCCCCTGCATGCACCAGGTGCCAGACATGCACCATACGCTTGCAGGAGCTGAAAGGTTAAATCCTCTATTTCTACCAAAGAGGGGAGAAACCAAGGACTCCCCTGAACTCAAGTCTGCTGACTGAAGCGCTCTTAGATCAACATGGGAGCAAAACGCTCAACTCCCTAACTCCCAACTCGTGCTCCTGTCCAGGCCATGCCAGAGATGGTGTCCGAAGCCCGCGGACAGCCCCGCAAGCTGACGGTGGCCCCACCGAGCCTTTGACTCCAGCATGGACTTGCAGCCAAGGACTCTCGCATCTCTCTCTCTACGAAAAGGCTTAGGAAGAGGACTCATCTCTCCCTGTCCAGCCCTGGGAGAAAACATGCTTTTAAGTGAAAGCCTTCAGCTGGCACTGAAGGGCTTGGTGCAAGGATTCAGAGAGGAGGCAGAGAGGTTACGTTTGCTTTCAAAAGGCTTTTTCATTGCTAAAGCTGCCTAAGCTGAGGGCTGAGGCAGTGTCCCTATGTGATTAAAGTGGCCCTAAACGAAGCTTGGCATATCCAACGCGACGGCGCGGGGTGAGGCGAGGGAGCAGCCGCTGAATGAGGATGAGCCCCAGGAAGCGCGCGCGCTCCAGCAGCGCGGTTTTCCAGCTGGCCTCGGGAAGCCAGCGGCCAAGCGGCACACGTCATGCTGCTGTCCGTGCTCCTTTCCGTTTGAGCACAGCTTCCCCAAGGCTTAGAGCCGCCAGCAAATGAAAAGGAAGAAAAAACCTTTTGTGTGTCAAGGCAAGCTTGCGGGGGGAAGGACAGCACGTGGGTGGTCTGCTCAGGAGACTTTTGACTTTGTTTTTTTGGCTATTTTATTTCTTGGCAGAAAGAGCTCCTGGGGTTTCTCGGCAGTGGGTATGGCCAGATCACAGGAGCATCTTCAGCCCACCCAGGGGCCAAAGTTCAGCTCGCAGCAGTTGCACAATCCAAGAGCCGAGGAGGCCTGCTTCAAAGCGCAGGGAAGTCAAGAGAAATTAAAGTCAGAAACGGTTTGAGACAGGGGCCGAGCGGTGGCAGGCAGAGGGCACTCCCAGACTCCTCATCTCTCCCCAGGTGCCCCGTCCCCACCGCTGCCGGGGCCATCGGGGCAACGAGGCACCGGAGATGGGAGGAAGGAGCCTGCTGGGCACCAACCTTGCACCCGAGTCCGAAGCGGAGGGCGAGCGCTCGCTTGCACGGGGCACAGCGCAGCTGAGCACCACGCTCGGCATCTGCCTGTGCGAGCTCAGCACAGAGTACTGTACTGGGCAACAGGAGACAGGCCAGGGAACCGCGGTTAACTAGGATCTCATGACGGTCTCCAGGGAGATTCCCCCACCTTGGAATGAAAAGAGGATTTCTTTAAAAATATTGGGAAAACTTTTATACAAGATTCAAGTTACTGGTAGCAGAATCAAAAAAGCACTTCTGGTCGTCTTCCCGTGCAAGGAGAGAGAAAGGCTAGGACAGGAGACAGGCTGCACAAAAATGACTGGGCTTTTACAAGGCAGAAACAAAAGCACCAGTTAGATACAAAACGCAATCAGTTTAAGAGCCTCCGCCTAACCCCCGACTGAATGCAGAGCCAGACTTTTAAAGCCATCCAGGCGGCAGAGTCAGGGCAGCGGGCTGAGGCTGCAGCCGGGGAGCGCGGGCGCAGGA